CCTCAACATCAGGAGGACCACAGAAGTACAGTAGTAGTTATTTTTTATATATATTCTTTTTTTGATGTCTACTTAAATGTTATACATTAACCCTTGCACATACTCTGTTTCCACAGTTTTGGGTATCCTGACCCTGGCTACCTGAGCAGAGTCAGAGATGAGCTGAAGGCTAAAGGTGTTGAGTGAAGATCTTAATAGAGAGTGGCTGAGGAGTTGTTTCCACACAAAAAAATTTGATTATTATTTTTGTTTTAAATAAGCAATTACTGGAATGCACAGACATATTGAATGCTGTCTCTCTTCTCTTATACTTTTTCATATAATCAGTAAGGGTTGCTTTGAGGTGCACTGAACATTTACAGCTAAAGAGTTTATGGTTTAGTAACATGTATTATCTTCACTTTTTAAGCATAACTGTTTCTTGATGAAAAATTTCCTAAATTTTTCCCTGATTGATAAAGTTTTTTAATTTATAAGAGTATAAGAATTGCATTTGCATCCATAGATGTAACTATGTCTGCCATACACGTGATCTGATTTACTCCAATAAATCACTAAACCTATCCACACTGACTCATCACTGTATTCCTCCCTTTATCAGAACGTGTGGTGAACAAAACACGAAACACTTTGGCTTGTTTTCTGCACAATTTTTAAGATTTTATAACAACATCTGTAATTTAGTGCATAAAGTACTCACTTTTCTTTCCAGGAGAGAGTCTGATCCTCAAAGCATTGTGTACTATAGAAGGTGTGTGTCATTTTCCATTCATATAAAGTCCAAAACAATTCTAGAAATGTAAAGTGTGCAAAAGCTTGTTGTAGTTACGTTAAATACTGATGTTAATTCTGACATGCATTAAGATATGGCTGACACATTTCTGACAGAAACACTTTGCTGACAAGGCAACCAAGGTCAGGGACCACCAATGCCCTGTGGGAAACCACTGCAGTAAAACAATACAGACCACAGACTATGATAGACTTGTGTGTTTAAAAAAAAAAAAAAACATGCTGTGCATCTGCAAAATTATAGACTGGAGAGGCCACTATCTGCTGAATGATGACTACATGTATTACATCACTGACTTAGGTTAAAGAAGCTAAACTCAATATAACTCAAAGTTGTTTTGTTGTTGTTGCAGTTAAAGAGTGGTTTGAGTGAGCGCTTCTCCCAAAAAATTGCTCTGTGTGTAAGTTGTACATTAAAGCTCAGACTGTTCACTAGTAGAGCAATAGCAGTTGACAACATAGGACATCGTGTTTGTGTGCATGTAGTTTTATTTGATTCTTGCCTTGTAATATCTACTAGTGATCAAACAATGGTTACCAAAACATAAAGCTTTTTTTATTCACATCTTGCATGCCAAACCTGTGCGTCAGTGAGCAGCGGACAGCCAGCTGTGATTACATTTTTTGATATTTAATGGTGTGCTGTTTAGCACTAATCTGAACTACTTTATACTGCTGGGTAGCGTCATCTGTAACAACACATCAGAATGTATTTGTTTATTATATTTACTAATAATAGCCAGATTCTGTAAAGTAATTAGTTACTAGAGCTGTCCATAAACAGTAGAGTAACAAGTACAATGTTTCCCCCTGAAATTTAGTAAAGTTAAGCAGTAGTCAGCTACTAAAGTGCAGTACTATATGATTTATCAACACATATTAATACTCATTAATAGTGTAAAGTCTGCAGCTGCATTAATGCTGTGAGGGTCACGTGTGAGGGTCACGTGTCTCGCGGAGCCTCAACAGTTTCACTTTCATTTATCAGGAAGAAGCAGCGTTCAGAGCCGAAAGCCAGCTGAAGGTAAATATGCTTCATGAATTCATGTTTTACGGGCTGTATGTTTGTTCAAAAAGTGAATAACGTGTTTGTTGTTTGTCGCATAACGTTGTGTTAAAAGTTCTTGAAACAGTAAACACGGAGAGCTAATTGACAGCCTATAAAAGTTTGCCCTGCTTCATCCTAACCTAGGTGTTCATTAAGCAAATTCAGGCAGATTACCTAACTGTTACATGCAATGTGTTTCTTTTTGTTATTCTCGCTGGCTTATAGGAAGAAGATTGCTGAAATGTCAAGTTTCAGACATTTATGATTTTAATTTATATAGTCATCACATGATGCATATTATTTAGTAATGCATTTAATCAAATTACCACAAACTTAATGTAACAGAAATGGGCCCGTGCAGTTTAATTTCACCATTGCTGGGCTTCAATAATGGCCAAACTCAGCTCCTTACAACCCCTTTAAAGGTCCAGTATGTGACATTTAGGAGGATCTACTGGCAGTAATTGAATATAATATTCATAGGTATGTTTTCATTAGTGCGCTGGTTCTCAAACTATGGTACAGGTACTATGGTTGTACACAAGCTCCCTCTAGTGGTCTCTCCAATCTCCAAACTATATTTTTTTAAATATAGTTTTAAATGTTATTAAATAATTAATTTAACAACATATAATACTATCAAAATACTATTTTGATTTAAAATACGTAAACTATAAGACCACTGAAATGTTAGGGGCTCACAAACAACATAAAACATACACCCATGAAGACTCAAATGGCATTAAAACAAACACAAGTAAATAAGAATGGGTGTGCAAAATAGCATTATAAAGTAGTGACAGTCTATTTTGGCTTGTTTATTTATTATTTATTTATTTAGTAATGCAGTAGCATTAATGGCAATACAACATGTTTTCAGGCTCCAATGATGTCATCACAGAACAAAGATGAAGCGCTGGTTAGTCTCTGTGTGAAGTGGTCAAGGGGTGGTGGACCATGGAAATTAAAACTGGATTCACAGCAACTCCTCCAGTCTTGGTTCAGTGGAAACCTCATTGAAGTAGACTGTGCAGTTTTAAGTGCCACAACAGATGGGAGTGTTGTGATGAAGATTACACCGGCTTCAGGTACAGTATGAGTACATTTCTATCACCTACCTATGTTTACATACTGTAAATATCTTGGCTAGCTTTCTCTATAAATATGTTTTTGCAGTTCAGTTTCTTTGGCTCTTCTTTTATTCTTTTGGAGGCAAATTCATATTGTGTTTGTCTTTTTTTAAGCCCTGGCTCAGCTTTGGAAACTGCATGGACAAACTCTGACGGGGAAAGATGGGGAAACAGTCACAATAATGTCTGTTAGTCTGACACCACCAGAGCTGGAGGAAGAAATACCAGACAATGCTTCAATGGACCTTCCATCTACTTTTAATATCCCAATGTACCATTACTGGTACGTGAACCAGGCCTACAAGGAGGAAATTAAACATATAGAGAGAGAGAGTGGCGTTAAAATCATGGCAGAAGTGAAGCTGACATTTGAAGCACACAAGCAAGATGGAAATCCAAACTATGCTTTTTCTGAGTTCATTAACCTTGTCCAGAAGTGCTCAGCTGAATCCAGAGGCTTCACTGTTCCTCTCAAGAATGTGAATGCAGAACAGTTAAAGGACACACTGAAAATCCTCCAGAGACCTGAGAACAAACTTTTGCTTAATGTATCCTCTGAAGAAATGACTGTATGTGGGCCAAGACGAAGTCAAGATGCCATCAGACAGTCTTTAAATGCAGATCAGGAACCCCTAACAAATACCTACACTCCTGTGTCTTCTGGGGCGTCTCAAGACACATCAGTGAACCTTGGCGGCATGGAAGTTGTGAGTGGCTGAATCAGTCAAGTCTGGAATCTAAAGTTGTTTAAAATTGTTTGTGTTTTGAAGT